TACAGATATGAAATTACTGAATTACTTAAATTTAAAACCCACAGGACATGTGAAAGGCAATTAGAAGAGAGGAAAATAGCAAATAATCTGCCTAACAAACTTATTTAAATGCCTGTCAGAACTGGGTCTGGGAGGGTTGGTAAAAAATAAACATTGCTAAGATTGACAAGAGATAGGAAGTTGTGGAGTGTCATAGTCACATACTTTCTGAATAAACATGGCACGTTGAAGATCAAACAAAAACGGCAATCATCACATGACAAATATAAATTTGAAAACATTTTTGTGTAATTGTGAGTTTGTGTGCCTGGCAGACCATGAACTTTCATTTTTTTTTTTTTTTTTCTATTTATTTATTTTTTTTTACAGTAAGGTCCACTCTGTACAAGGCCTTTGGGCCACTCAAGGTAGAGGATTATGTTAAGGGGTAGTTTATATGGATAGGAGGGGAAGATAATGGTTGACTCTTGATTTGAACAGATTAAGATTGTAGTGATCAAGGAAACATCCTCTAGGGAGTCTGTTCCATAGGGCAGTGAGTGGTTTTTTGGGAAGAAGCTGTTCAAGTGGAACTTACTTCTTTCCGATGGAATACGGAGGGATTGTGGGTGGTTTGCTGCTAGGTAAGTGGCATGGTGGGTCCTAGCTATGAAGGTCAGACCTGGTGGAACCAGGAGAAGCAGTTCATCCAAGAACTTTCAAGACGGATAGTGAGAGCACAAATATTGCTTAGGGCAACAAAGGATAGGAAGTTGTGGAGAGTCATGATTTCACATATCCGTAGAAGAATTTTATAATCATACAACTATTTTTGCAAATTTTACTGCATTTTTGCTTCACTTTATTTAATATTTGTTTCTTATATGACTTCATTTTATTTTATTTTTTTTTTAATTCATTTCACCCCAACCAAGACAATAAAGCCCCTAAGACACAAAATTGACTGGAAAGCAAGAGGCTGGAAGAGAGTTCCCCAAGTTAGAAGTGCAAAAGAAGAAATTGTTAGCATGGATTGTATGGTTACAGCTAGCAATTTTAACTGCAAAATGATGAGACCTAGCTGCCAATCTAGTACTGCGCTCAAATTTGTAAAATCAAGGTGCCAAAGAGAAAAACTCATCATAGCAATTACCACAAAAATATTTTTAGAAAAGGCACAGAGAAGCTATATTATGTTGGTGAGAAAGTGTCTGAAGATGAGATGCCAGGTCAGGACTGATAACACTGCAGATTCTTCTTTGGATTTTATCAAGAATTTCTAAATACATAGTAGAAGCACCAAACCAGATGTGGCAGCAATACCCAATGCATTGAGGAATGTGTAAAATAGATACTGGCAAGAAAAATTGTCTGGCATTACACAGTGAACCAAACTTCCGAGCAGCAGACTTAGCAATTGGTTCAATATAATCTTTCCACTTCATATCTGCGGAAAATGTTAGCCTGAGAAGTTGCAATGAGTTGTCATACATACATTCAGAAGGTATATTTAATAATAGTATAGATGGTCAACATGGGCACCAGACGGGCAGTGTTCTTTAAAAAATGCTTGGCCATTTTTTAGTTGTGAGTCTGCTGGTGAAAAAAAAAAAAAAAAAAAAAAAAAATTGAGGTAGAAAGAGAAAGACATTTAATAAACATTCCAGTGTCACCTTTTCACTTCTATCAGACAATAGATCACATGGTTTCTGTCAGCTGCTCCTCTACACTCATCCAACCCCCTCCGGAAACACACAATGTGACTAGATTTTATAAAACAAACAGAAGGAAAAAAAAAAAGAAAAAAAGAAAAGAAAAGGTATTAGGTCTGCTTGTCCTTGAGGGGCTGTAAACATTCAGGAAACTTTGTGAAGAAGGAAAAAGGAAAGAGAAAGATGGGGATGGGTGGGGGTATTCCACTAGCCCGTGCTCACCACACACACACATATTATATATATATATATATATATATATATATATATATATATATATAGAGAGAGAGAGAGAGAGAGATAGATAGATATTATTCAGTTATATGGATATGAGTTTGTGACCATGGGTTTCACACTCTTGAGATCAGACGAACTGGTTTATTTTTTAAAAATTGAATCTATTTATGCATGTTTGTGTTTGATTATGTTTGGTGGTGGGAGGGGGAAACTTTCCTCTGTGTCCCTTTGAGGTAGCATTATCATATATATATATATATATATATATATATATATATATATGCATGTTTCATTAAAAATGACAGACAAGGTACTACGGTTGAGCTTTTTATTTAATTTTTTCTTGTGTTCTGACAAAGCTTTCTTTTTCTGGACAAAGAGTGTGTAAGAACTGTCCGAATGTTCTGTATTTCCGGAGCTTTCAGCTATACCTTTTAGCCATTATCAAGGATGATTCAATTATCAGCTTAGTAGAGTGTGTGTGTTCTGTGTATGTTCAGTGTGTGGTAGTGATGTTTTTAGTTTCGAATACAGTTAGCACATTGTGGCTTTGTTCATAGTTAATATTGTTAAGAGTTGGCTTTTTCTTTTTTATTATTAGAGCTTCCATTATATATATATATATATATATATTAAGAAATAGACAACTTTAATGGTTCATGGGGATTATAATTTATTTCCTTTGAATTGAAATTCAATTCTAATTCCTCAGATTGACCATTTTCACACAAACAATTTGGTGACAAATATTCCAGGTATAAGAAGAATTCAGTATTATTATTTTTAATTTATGCACATGTGTTTGAGGAGGCAGGTTTAAATTGGTGGCAGGAGGGGTTGCAGGCAGTGGGGGAGGTCAAAGGAGATGTATATCTCTAGAAAAGGAAAAAGTGATTGAGGGAGTGGAAGATAAAAGACATGCAAAGAAAATTAGGAAAAGAAAAAAAGAGATAAGGAAGAAAACGAGATAGATGTATTTTACATCCATCTTAATAAAGAGTAGATCACTAAGGCTTTGGGTTTGAAAATTTTCAGTGCATAATATTTGATTCATTTAAGATTTGTTACTGAAATAGGAGGCATGGTGGAGCAATGGATAGCAGCCCAGATTGAGGAATCAGAGAGCCAAGTTCGAATTCCAGTCGAATCTATTACATTCGCTTATGTGCAAATTCCCTTGGGAAAGGTATGAAGCCTCTTCTTCTCCTCCCAGCTATGGGTAAATAGCAGGACAGACTGGGTTCTATAGCCTTGGATGGCAACTGGTCTACTGCAGAAAGAAATGGCAACCTACTGCAGGAAAAAAAATCTGCCTCATCACTCATGTATTGAAAGATACATGGCACATAACTGACTGACTGAAATACATTATCAAGGAAGGAGATTATGTTGAAAATATTGTTGAGTAAAAAAAATAAATGCTTTTGTCACCATTGGGCTATAGATTTATACCTTCGTATATATAGTGTCAGCAAGACAATGAACAAAATTTGAAAGGAAAGATGAGAAAAGCTAAGTAACCTGTTTAACCTGTGAAATTGTCCAGTATAGTTTCTTCCTCTGTACAAATTGTTAGAAGCTCTTATGGAAAAGGATGGGCTCATTTCTTATTAGCAGGTGGGACAGAGTAACTCGACAATGAAGAGTTCAATTCTTGGGGTGGGGATTAGCATTAAGAATCTTCATAATAGTTATCTAACAGGTAGGAGAGCATGCCCCTCCCCCCACCACTGATCACTACAATCTTAACCTGTTAAATTCTAGAGTTAACCTTTATCTTCCAACTATTCGCATAAACTGTGTCTCTTACTCTGTAACCCCCTACCTCAAGTGCACCCCACTGGCCCTTGAACAGAGTGAACCTTACTGTAAAAAAAAAAAACATAATTAATATAACCTATATTTGATGAAGAAACAATTAAGTTTAATTGACCTTCATTAAAATGAGAGTTAACCAGCTTATGATGGTGTTTTTATCTTTAAGCACTCTGCATGACAAATATTACTTCCCTTCCCACTGCATTCTTTTTCAAGACCTCTCAATTGCAGTGTCTTTATTGTTCATTTCATTCAAAGGTATTTTTTCTGTTGCCATAGAAGGGTATGACAGCACAACTACGAAATTCAAACACACTATTGTTCAGGGATCAGAGTCACTTCAGTGGCAGGATAAACTTTATGTACAACAAATGAAATGACATACAGTGTATACAAAGGTTAATGTAATAAATATGATTTTATATATAAATATATACGTGTGTGTGTGTGTGTGTGTGTGTATATATATATATATATATATATACATACACGTGTGTGTGTGTGTGTGTATATATATATATATATATAGAGAGAGAGAGAGAGAGCAAGAGAGAGAGTTAATACAAATAAAATTTGTCACTTAGCTGATTGATGTTAGATTTAGAACTTTGACTTCAGAGTTTCCTAGAAGAACCTTTGTGCAATTTTTCAGTTCAGTTGTCACATTTCAATAATTGATTGCAAATTCTGTCATTTTTTTGTTATCTATTTACTAAGATAAATGTAACAATGTCATTTCCAGTATCACAGACAGAACTCTTGATTTTGGGGGTAATTTGGTTTCTCAAATGTTCTGTTTTTTTGTTTTTTTTAAGTTAGTATTATTTGGGAAATATAGTGTGGTTTGTTTTTTAATTTCTTTTGTAAATAATTGAATTATTTTTAAATTAATGCTTAAATGGCAAAGTAAATATTTGTTTATATGTCTGCACTTATTCATTATTCATTTTTCTTATTTAGTAGTTTGTTTCTTTTTAGCTGGCTTGGTGGTATCTTAAGTTATGGGATATGAATTATGGAAGGTTACGTTTATAACTGCATATTTTTATTGATTTAGATGTGTAGATATAGTAGGCCAATGAAGGAAATTTGAGAGATAAAAAGACAACAATAATGATGATAATAAAATGAATATTTATTGTATATTATTAGGCCTTTAGAAGCATGATGAAAAAATTGTTTTTTTTTGTGTTGAATTTTTCCATTGGCCTTGTGTATCAACATATAAAAAGCATATGTGGACAATATTTACTGTCATACATAGATAGATAGATATGTAGGTAAACAGATAGATAAATAGATATGACCAAAGATACATAGATATGAAGATAGATAGACAGATATGAATAAAGATAAATAAGAACAAAGAGAGAGATAGATAGATAAGAACAAAGAGAGAGATAGATAGATAGATAAGAACAAAGAGAGAGATAGATAGATAAGAACAAAGAGAGAGATAGATAGATAAGAACAAAGAGAGAGATAGATAAGAACAATAAGAACAAAGAGAGAGATAGATAGATAAGAACAAAGAGAGAGATAGATAGATAAGAACAAAGAGAGAGATAGATAGATAAGAACAAAGAGAGAGATAGATAGATAAGAACAAAGAGAGAGATAGATAGATAAGAACAAAGAGAGAGATAGATAGATAAGAACAAAGAGAGAGATAGATAGATAAGAACAAAGAGAGAGATAGATAGATAAGAATAAAACAAAGAGAGATAGATAGATAAGAAACAAAGAGAGAGATAGATAGAGAGAACAAAGAGAGAGATAGATAGATAAGAACAAAGAGAGAGATAGATAGATAAGAACAAAGAGAGAGATAGATAGAATAAGAACAAAGAGAGAGATAGATAGATAAGAACAAAGAGAGAGATAGATAGATAAGAACAAAGAGAGAGATAGATAGATAAGAACAAAGAGAGAGATATCTATCTCTCTAGCTATTTTTGTTCATATCTAGATGGATAGATAGATATGAACAAAAAATATATAGAGACATGAACAAAGATATATAGAGACAGATATAAACAAAGATAAATAGATAGATAGATAGATAGATAAGCTATATTTAGGCAACAAATATTCATCCAAACAAGATAGATTAAATTCAACTGAAGTCTATCTGGTAAATTATTGTATTTTTCAATTTTCTGAAATTATAGATAAACTCTCTGAAGTTCATGCTTGTCCTATTGTTTTTATTCAAATTCTTTTAGCCATATCAGTCATTTTCAAGGATCATGTGCTGACCATGTAGTAGGCTAGATTCTGCTGGCTACATCCTTATATTCCTTAGAAAGCTGAAAGTTTAAAATAGTCCACATTGATATCAGGTTTAACCTTTATCACCCTGTATGTGATTTCATTTGCTGTACATAAAGTTTATCCTGCCACTGGAAGTGACTAATCTCTGAACAATATTGAGTTTGAATTTCATTGTTGTGTTGTCTTATCCTGCTATGGCAACAGAAAACATCTTTGCATGAAATTAACAATAAAGATACTGCAATTGAGAGGCCTTGAAAAAGAATGCAGTGAAAAGGGGAGTAACATTAGTAATGCAGAGTGCTAAAGGTCAATGGTTAAGAGGAGAATACCTATATGTAGCCAAATGAATTCTACAAGGACAGCATATGGTTCTTGAAAATTACCATAATAGAAAATTTACATGCAGCTGCTATCAAGACTGCAGATTTGATACAGTGACCTTTATTGATACCCTTTACACGGACATAGTAGTAGACACAAAATGCATGCAAATTTTGAACAAAAATACTTGGCTGTTTGAATGCATGTTACTTGAAAGGTATAAAATTTCTGATAATTTAATAGCTATACATGCTTAAAAGCTGAAACTTGGCAGATTAATAATTTAATGTTCTAAATAGCCATGTAATTTTTTATTGTTCTCCATAAATTATAATTGCGAATCTAATCCCTGGGGTGAGTAGTACAGATTCATTGGAAACAGCACTGAAAAAAAGACCTGGAGAGTGGAACATGAATTATCTAGATTAAATCCCTGAAAATAACCCGAATCAACAGACACCTGAAGAATGCATTGAAAATCAGAAAGGGATTGCCAATGATCAGTTTGTACCTAAAGCATTACTTGTATAATTAGCCTAATGCAAAAGTATTGCTAATGATTTTATCATAGAAATCTATTGAAAATCAGAAAGGGATTGCCAATGATCAGTTTGTACCTAAAGCATTACTTGTATAATTAGCCTAATGCAAAAGTATTTAATGATTTTATCATAGAAATCTATTGAAAATCAGAAAGGGATTGCCAATGATCAGTTTGTACCTAAAGCATTACTTGTATAATTAGCCTAATGCAAAAGTATTGCTAAAATTTTATCATAGAAATCTATTGAAAATCAGAAAGGATTGCCAATGATCAGTTTGTACCTAAAGCATTACTTGTATAATTAGCCTAATGCAAAAGTATTGCTAATGATTTTATCATAGAAATCTATTGAAAATCAGAAAGGGATTGCCAATGATCAGTTTGTACCTAAAGCATTACTTGTATAATTAGCCTAATGCAAAAGTATTGCTAATGATTTTATCATAGAAATCTATTGAAAATCAGAAAGAAAGGAATTGTCAGTGATCAGGTTTTAATTTTTTGGAGAGGTTGAGGTGATGAGCATTTGACCTTTGTTAAAATATTCAGCACATCTACAAAGGAAAAGAGAAAAGTAGATAAAGTACAAATAGGTAATTTTATATTCCAAAATAGTTCAGGTGTTTTATGGAACTTTTTCTATCAAATTTCTTTTTAAAGACAATTTTCATGTAACCAGAAATTGAGGAGACAATGTAAGATATTTTTTCATGACTTGACTGTGACTATTTCATTTCTATTTATACTATAAGCACAGATTGAGGTGTAGACACCAGGATCTGTGCAAATATTTAACAGATTCTATTTGAAAGTGTGTTTATTGAAGATTATAAAATTTCTAATAACTGTAAATGTATTAAAAACTGAAACTTTGCAGATTAATAATTTGATATCTTTTAAATGTTGTGCAAATTTTATCTTTGTCCATAAATTATAAATTAATTAAATCTTAAGTCGGTATCCACTCAGTGGGGATATTGTTTTTTATTAATAATTTTCAATATCAGTCTATATGAGGTATTGTAATTTTTGTGATGTTGGACGGCTTTACTTGTCATTTTTCCTATGTCAAGTGAAAGCTTGTTATCACTTCCAAAAATGTTCATTATATTCAAGACTTTGTAGATGCCAGTACTAATAATAAACACCTTCTAATAATATCCGCACTAGTAATACTTGTTCAAGTAGTAATTGCCAAACAGTATAATGATCAGAAGAGAATTGTAATCTGTAGAGTAGTAGAGTAGAGAGAGTGAACATATAGCAATAGTGGATAGACAAGAACGAATGAACTGTGATCAGTTCATCGTCAAGCTACTTCATATTTATTCACTTCCTTTATGTTCAGGTGTTTTACTTAATAATGGAATCGTCCATGTTACTCACTGGCGATCTAGTTTCAAACCACAGTGTAGGCAACGATATTTACTCTTATTCAGCAGTAATTATTTACACTATCTACGTTGCTCAAGGACACATGGCCCAGTGAATAAAAGCATTGGTTGAAGTGATCCAGTGACTTGACCCAAAGAGTTGTGAGTTCAATCCCTGGTCACAGTAGAAGTGAAAAAAAAAACTTGGAGAGTTGATTTAAAGGAAAATAACTGAAATTGAGATATTTGGAAGAGACATGGCATGTAGAACTAGAACAATCTACCCTGGTGGATGAAATAAAGGGTTTGGTTTGAAATTCCAGTCACCTGAAGATGAATGGAACCTACAACAGCTGAAACGATGTGAATATGACAACAAAGATGAAGCCAACTATCCAAACAATGTAAATAATAATTTTCAATGAAAAGGTTTTTTTTATTATTTTGTCTGAGACTGATTAATAGAATGAATTTTAATGTGGGCATTATTATTTAAATCTGTATAATTTGTTCATTGGTTACAGTGGGCTACGATAAGTTTTTAGCCACTCTTGATTACAGCAATTTTGGCTTGTTTAATAATTTTTTTTCAGACAATATCATGTTAGTTGCAATGAAAGTTCATGGAAGTAAGGAAAATAGTGAATTTCACCAAGGGCAAATAATAGGATGGCATCAGCGTGGCAAGTCAAATAGAGGAATTGCTAGGTTTATCCAAGTTAATCATCAAATGGTTAATAATATTGTCAAGAAATTTAACGAAGAAGGCCATTGTCATGTGGAACAATGTTCAGGAAGACTAAGTATCGTGTCTGAGTGAACGAAAAGGGCACTGAATAGTGAAGTCATCAGAAATCATCATCAGAGTGTCAAAGATGTCACCAAAAGTATGTAAATGTTGCCATATGCAGTAAGAAAGACTTTGAAAGAGCTAGGCTACCAAAGAAGAGTTGCAAGAAAGAAGCCCTTGATTTTAGAGGTTAACAGGAAACTTTGTATGGACTGGGCGAGAGAATTCGAGAGCAAAGATTATGAATTTTGGCAGTCTGTAATTTAGTCAGATGAAAGTAAATTCTGCCAATATTCAAATTCGAAATAGGTTTATGTTTGGAGAAATCAGAATGTGACTTGAAACACTGATTGTCTGCAGGAAACCATGAAACATGGAGGGATTGGAGTAATGGTGAGGGGCACTGTCTGGTTTGGAGGGAAATCTGAGCTGATTCTTGTTGACGAACAGTTGAATGGTCCAAAATACTGTCAAATATTAGAGAAAGGACTACTCCCACTATTTGAAACCAATCAGATTGACAAGAATGTCTACCTTTTTCAAGAAGATGGAGTGCCATATCATATGAGCAAAGTAGCAAAGGTCTGGAAGGAATTGCAAGAAATCAAGTCACTGTCATGGGTAGCCCAAAATCCTGACATGAATCCAATAGAGCACGTTTGGGAGCACCTTGACCGAAGACTTCAACCAAAATCATGTCAGTGGCAACTCTTAAAGAAATATTTTTAAAGGATTGGAAAAATATGGATAAGATGATTGTTGATAACTTGATCAAATCCATGAAAAATTGAATACAAGCACTAAAACTAACAAATGGAGGACCTACTTGATACTAGTTCCAAATACTGTTTGTTTATGTTTAATAGATTATGTAATTAAATTTTGAAATTGGATGTAGTTTATTTCTCCTGGCTAAAAACTTTTCTTAGGCCACTGTATATCTGGTGTGTGGACATAGTAGTAGACATAAAATGTGTGTGAATATTTAACAGGAAAATGCTTGGCTCTATTTGAATATGTGTTACTTGAAAAGTATATAATTTCTAAAAACTTAAAAAATATAAATGCTTAAAAGCAGAAACTTTGCAGATTAATACTTTAATATACATTTTAAATGCTGTGTAATTTATATCTTTCTTTGTAATTCTTAAGTTGATATATTATTAATAGTTTTCAATAAAAAAAAGTTTTGTCTGAAACTGATTGATTGAAAAAAAAATGTGTTTTAATAAGCTGTCTGCATTAAGTTGAACGTGTCTCATGTGTTTATTTTACCAAAACTTAATTTAAATAAATTTTTTAATTTTTTCTTCGTAAACACAGCATAAAAACAACTACTTTAAACTCGCCGCAGATTACAGAAGCAAAGTCCTTGAGGTTTTATAAACAAACTGCTGTTCTTTATCCCTGACTGAAACTAAAAATCAATAATGGGAGGAGGAAAAAAAATGCTTATGAAGAGAAAATAAAATATTTGAAAGTTGCAGAGTTTTGTTGTATAGAAAGTCAGTTTTAATTTGGATCTTATGAAAACGGATGACTCAGTCTTTTTTATATATATATATATATATATATATATATATATATATATATATATATATATATAAAATAGTAATAATTGTATTGTTAAGTTGAAAGTTTCATTGACCGCTTTCTCAGTCAAAAGGTTAGTGAGCAAAAAGATTAAAAATTAAAAAAAAGTAAAAATAAAATAATCAAATAGGACAAATTTTGTCAGCAAAGGTCAAGGTTATAATTCAGGATACACTAAAAAACCATTGATATCGCAAAAGTGAAAAAAGATTTAAATTCTCAAATTTTTGAACTGAACTATTTCCAAGACTTATTCCTTTTTTATAAATTTATTATTGCTTTTCATCAGCTTTTTTTGCTTGAATATGCTTTGACCTTTTGAGTAAATTGAAACAAAGTTCAAATACAGAAGTGTCTTCCTTTTAAACTAATGTGAATCTCATAATATAGACTTTTTTTTCATGGATGATGAAGAAAAGATTTCATCTCTTCTTTATAATGATCTTCCCACTGTACGAGGCCCAAGAGTAACTCCAGGTAGAAGGTTACAGAGTTAGAGGCACAGTTTATGAGGATATGTGGAGAAGATAACAGTTAACCTTAGACGTGAACAGGTTAAAATTGTAGTGATCGGAGAAGCATTCCCTTGGGAGTCAATTCTGAAAGGAGTGGTTTGTGGGACGAAGTTGCTCAAATGGAATTTACATCTTACTAATGGAATATGAAGCGAATGACGGTGGCTTCCTACAATATATGTAGCATGGCAAGGGGGTCTTAACTGTGAAGGTCAGAACTGGTGAAACTAAAGAATGTAGTTCATCTGAGCACTTTCCATGGAAATAGCGATAGAGCAATGAGAGGCTTGCAATGTTTCGTCTGTGAGAAAATAATTCACCACAAGGACACAGGGATGCTTTTCAACACTGAAAAGTGAAGACTAGGCAATTCCTGCCCATATAGCAGAAGTACTCCTTTTTTGGTCTGATCTGGCTCTTGTAAAGGCAGAGGATAGCAGAAGGAATCAGGAACTCATTGGAGCTGTAAGGGAACCAAATATTTTTCCAACATCTTTAGCAATGGTTCCAACTGAAATCTGAGTTGCGTTTAAGTCCCAAGAGGCACTCAAGACGAGGGGTCTCCCTGAAGGAATGCCTGTTCATTGAAATTGGTGATGATGAAATGTCACTAGTTGACTTAGGCAAAAAGGAGGAAAATTCATATCAGAAATGATGTCACAGTTCATACCAGAATTTAAGTAATTTTATATTGTTATTCTCTAATAAGAGAAAAGAAAATAGCATGATGATTGAGAGTAGAAAGATGGCCATGACTGTAAATTGTTTTTCTGTTGGGCTATTAATTGGGGTGGGTCTGAATTAGTTGTTCACAAGCTACCTTTTCCTCCACCCCGCTCCAAATCTGAAACATAAAAATTTCATCTAACTTACCAAAGGAATTTGATGCAGAAACATGGAAGTTACATATTCTGTAACAATATGGATGACAAGACCAAAGAATAAAATAAATTCTTGTGCTGTTCTCAATTTCTGCTCCAGTTCATTGAATATTGACAGACAACCAACAGACATTAAGAGAGGAGGAAGGGAGAGAGAAGAGAAAAAGAGAGAAGGGAGAGAGAAAAGAGAGAGGAGAAAGGGAGAGAGAAAAGAGAGAGGAGAAAGGGAGAGAGAAAAGAGAGAGGAGAAAGGGGAGAGAGAAAAGAGAGAGGAGAAAGGGAGAGAGAAAAGAGAGAGGAGAAAAGGGGAGAGAGAAAAGAGAGAGGAGAAAGGAGAGAGAAAAGAGAGGAGAAAGGAGAGAGAAAGAGAGAGGAGAAAGGAGAGAGAAAAGAGAGAGGAGAAAGGGAGAGAGAAAAGAGAGAGGAGAAAGGGAGAGAGAAAAGAGAGAGGAGAAAGGGAGAGAGAAAAGAGAGAGGAGAAAGGGAGAGAGAAAAGAGAGAGGAGAAAGGGAGAGAGAAAAGAGAAAGGGAGAGAAAAAAGAGAGAGGGGAAGAAAGAAAGGAAAATGAAAGAGGGGAAGAAAGAAAGGAAAATGAAAGAGGGGAAGAAAGAAAGGAAAATGAAAGAGGGGAAGAAAGAAAGGAAAATGAAAGAGGGGAAGAAAGAAAGGAAAAGGAGAGGGGAAGAGAAGTGAGAGTGGGGGATGGGGAAAGAAGAGAGAGGAGAAAGGAAAAGAAAGAGAGAGGAGAAAGAAAAGAGAGAGAGAGAAAGAAAAGAGAAATAGAGAAAGTAAAGAGAGAGGAAAAAAGGGAGAAAAAGAAAACAAAAAACAATGATTTAGGAGAGGCAACAAAATAAATTCCATTTTCTTCTTGAAATATAAAAAAGTCAAAAACTAAAAACTTACGTTCCTTGTGAAAAAAAATGTGTCCTGTTTAAGAACACGTGTTGGTAACTGTTCTTTTTTTTTTTTTAACTGGGAGTGTTTATGTTATGTTGGACAGGGTAAAATAGGTAAGTTATAAATATAGCAAAAGCTGATGTTGTATTTTGAACTGAAAAAGAATACGAGACCAAAATGCAAAACCTTCACATGAATATAAATTGTTTAAGTTTCAGGCTGACATCAGAAATTGCAATAATTCAATTTGTGTATGAGTTTAATTCATAAATACAAACATATGCATTATCATAATGGATGATCAGGGTGCATATATTATATATGCCTATTTGATGCATTTGTGCAAAAATCTTTCATTTATTTTTTCTTTCTTTCCTTTTTCCAATCATTTAACTTGCAAGCAAGGGAATAAAACCCCTAAGACGCAAGGGGCTACTGAGATTGACGGAAATTGAGAAAGCGTTACTCAAGAGAAAGTACAATATAAAGAACAAATTCAAGAAGACACAAGATGATGATTGACATTGCATTTAGATTTTTGAAGATCATAGTTGACAGGAAAGCAAGAAGCTGGAAGAGAGTTCCACAAGCAAGAAGTGCCACAGAAAAAACTATTAGCATAGAACTTATGGTTAAATCTAGCAATTTCAGCAGTAAATTGATGAGACCTAACTGCCACTCTAGTACTACTTTTACTTATATGTGCTCTGTCCATTCAGAACGTGGACGATCATGGAGCTACACAACTTCCTATCATTTGTAACTCTAAAGTTTTGACTTCTCCAACTTCCTGTTCTACCACCCATTTAAACAAGCTCACTGTTACTCTCTGTCCCTTCAAGATTATGACCCTTCACAACTTCCTTTGTAGTTCTAAGTAATGTTTGTATTCATAATTTCACACTCAGTCCCTATTCTGCTATCCATTTAAACAAGCTCATTAAGCAGGTTACTCACTGTTTCCCTCTGTCCCTTCAAGACAATGGATTATTATGGCTCTCCACAACTTCCTATCTTTTATAATTCTAAGTAATATTTGTCTCAGTCCATGTTCTGCTATCTGTTTAAACAAGCTCATTAGGTAGGTTACTTGATGTTTCCCTCTGTCTCTTCAAGATATGGATGATTATGGCTCTCCACAATTTCCTATCCTTTGTAGTTTTAGGTAATGTTTGTCTCCATACTCTCACACTCAGTCCCTGTTCTGCTATCCATTTAAACAAGCTCATTCTGTCCTCCTTGTATTCAACATGAACCGTGAGTTTCATATTCACCAAGCCCTTCTTCCACATTGTGTGACTTAACATGTTCAGTCCATGGTATTCTTAGCATCTTTCTGTAGAATCACATTTCTGTTGCCTCGAGTCTCTTTATCTGTCAGCATTCACAGCCATATAGAAGAACCAATATTGAATATTTTTTCAACCATCTTTCCTTTGTTCCTGATGAAATTTTAATGTGTTTAAATTTATGAAACCGAGATATCAAAAAAAGGAACTTATCAAAAAAAAAAAAAAAAATCGGTGGTACTACTTAAATAGAGTGGTCCACTGATAAAATATAGGAAAAATTATAGGGAGAAATAACTTTTGAATATTTGCATTCTTTAGACTTTCCTTAGGTATTCTCAGTATCTTTCTGTAGAACCACATGCTATTGCCTTAAATTTCCTCTTCATCTTTTTTCCTTATGAAATTTTCATGTTTTTACATTTATCAAACCGAGATATCAAAAAAAAAAAAAAATTTACCAGAAAAATTGGTGGAACTACTTAAATAGAGTGGTCCACTGATAAAAATAGAGAAAAAGTTTTTGCGAAATAATTTTTGTTGATTAGTATGCTTCAGACATTCCTCAGGCTGAGACAATTGTCAGGATCAAGGAATATTAATTTGCTATTGATTTGCTGTTTATAACAGCAATACAGTGTCAAAATGATCCTTGACGTTTTGGAGTAAACCAGTCTATTAAATTAGTGTTCAAATGCCATGAAAGTGCTTATAGAAAAGGCACAGGAGAGCTATGCTGTGGTGGTGGAAAAGTGATTGAAACCAAGATGCCAAGTCTGGTTAAAAACCAATGAATGTTCAAGAGTTTTAATCTAATTTTATACAACTCAGAATATTTTTCTGGTCTCCTGGCAGAATTGTCCAATGTATTTGTCGTATTTCCAGTTGATATAAATGAGTATCAAAAAATTTTACTTTTGTGTTGATAAGATTCTGTCGATGTGCACTTGCTATTGACCGAAATGCTGATTTGGTGAAAGCCAAAGTTATCAATCATTGAGCTATCTTTAAAATGAGAACATAATACTTTGTTATCACTTTCTTATTTATATATGAAATCAATAAAAAAGTTCATTTTCATCTAAGAGCATATTGGTATTACTAATTGTTAGAATATATCTATGGATGATAATGAGTATGTCCTCATTTCCATAAATACAGTAGTGAATACTGTATGTTGGTTGACCATTGAAGATTCACTGTGGAATTCATTTGACTCACTTCTAGCAATTGACTACTGCTACATGCCGCTGGTGAATCCTGTGTATGTTGTTCTTGTTCTAAGTATTATCATTCATTACCAACCTTCATTTGATTATTCTATTCAATAACCTTTCCTAGGTTACAACACTAATTTCAGGACAAGCCACAGATATATATTTGTATTTGTTGAAACTTGGATAAGCATGGAATAATAATAATACAACACAAAATGTACGTAAACAAAATGTATTGAAACAAGGAAAAGGTACACAATATTTACAGTTAGTTTTGGTATATTCTTGGGAAGACTGTTCCTGCAGAATGGGTTGACTAAATCGCAGTCGGGCAGAGTCTCTCGATTCGATCTCTTCTTACTCCCCCCGTCTTCCCGGTACCAACCCATATTTATATGGTCGGTACTCCACTTATGTAAATTAGGTGGATCGTACCACAACAGTATTGATAGTAACAAATAACTAAATAACCTTTAACCCTGAGTACTCAACTCTGTAGGAGTATCAAACCAAAATAATTAATAATAAAAGAAAAATTAAAATTTAAACAATAAAAATACTGAATGGTAATTAACAGCAAAGAAAGAAAAAGGGACATTATAAAAATAGTTAAATAAATATTGAAAACTTCCATCATGCACCAGAACAACCATTTTGCTGCCAGTTGAAAAAAAATATCAAATTTTCTCTTTCTTCATCTTCGAAGGAGGCAGACAGCTCAAACAGCTCTCTAATAGACATATTGCTATCAACAAATAAACACAAACTTTTTTATCTTTGTATACATATGTATTTTAAAATATACAATCATTTCTTACATCATTTACATTATTCAGACTCATCTCCATTGCTATATTCACAACATTTCAGCTATTGTACACTCTGGCCTTCTTCTGATTGGAATTTCAAACCAAACCCTTTATTTAGTCCACTGGAGTAGATTTTTCTAGTTCCACAGTCCATGCCTCATCTGCATATTTCAGTTATTTCCCTTTAACTCAACTTTCCATGTTTTTTGGTTCACCACTGCTGTAACCTGGTATAGAACTCTCAATACTTTGGGCCTAGTCACTGGATCTAAACAACCCCCCTTTATCCACTGGGCCAGGTGTCATTTCTCATGTATACTAAAGCATATTTTTTCTATGCTCATTTTGTTGTATCTTGTCTATGATTTCTTTGTAGTTTTATAATTCCATTGTGGGCTGCTGATGTCTTTAACTGCAAGCAAATCACGCAGATTTTTCTCACTGCCAGTTCAAGGAAGATATTTGTGTCACTAACACACAAAAAAGAGATTGTTTAATATCAAGAATGTTTAACAGTGAAAAACATAAAAAAATTAATTCCTTTTAATAATATGTGGAAATATCCACTCTTTGCCTGATGAAGGTCATGAGACCAGAAACGTGTAGCAAAATTATGGAAAATAAAGCATAATATATTTTTAAAAAAAAATGCACATTACAACTAAAAATGTTTGCAGTTTCTCTCTTATATATATATATATATATATATATTATAAATTAATTGATTTAAAATATGGTTATTTTCGCTACACAGTTCCAACCATGTTTCAAAAATAGAAGCTAAAAACCCCTAATTTTATTTTTGCAAATAAATTAAAAGCATTAGTTCCATTTCATCTTCAAGCGAATTTTGGAGTAACTTTTAAAATTTACCGGGTTTTAAATACACAGCTAAAATCACGTTTCCATGGTTACAGAATATTCTACTCAAATTGAACACGGGGTGTCTAGATTTTCCTTATGACAGTATCATTGAAAAAAAAAAAAAAAAATTTACATATACTTTGATATGGAAAAATAATCTTACTTAATATGAGTAATTTTCCTTCTGTTATAAAGTAATATAGTCTATTAAAACTAAACAATGAAAATATTTTAAAATTTTAAAGTTGTAATTTTGAATTTGTAATTAAAATTGTAGTTAAATTGAATGAATTCTAACCTAAATTTCTTTTAAATAATACTACACGCATTAAAAAGAATCCAAAAATAACACCTATAGTAAAATAAAATTAATATGAAATACCATAACATGTAAGCTTTTGAATGACCCATGTCCTCAGTACTTACATGTGAAATATTATAATAATAGGTTTATATATAAAAGAAAAGTTTACTGAATCAGTGAAATTAAGTAACCATTTCTGCTGTCATAGTCATATACAAAAAAAAAAAAAAAAATAACCTCATATACATAATTAAACTTAATGTTAAAATAATCCTACATAATATAATGGATTCTAATACATTTAACTGTTCTTAAAAGAATATAGTAAAATAAAAATTAAAAAGGAAAATATTTCAAATCGTAGTTAAATAAAAAGTATTTAAAAAAAAAATCTTTAATTTTAAAAGATGACGTTGAAAATTTTTACCGTTAACAATTTTTTTTTTTTTTTAAATTCAGACGACATCCATTCAACCGACGT